CGAATCATTTCCTACTGCAATGATAATTTGATTGTAAATCTTATGTTTGTAGTGAAATAGTTTTCGAGGAAATTTTCAATTGCCTAATTATCTGTTCCTGATAATTTTTATATTGCATTCTACAGTACGCTATAATAATCCGCTGATATACGTCGAATCAGAGAATTTGAGCTGCGAACGGTTATTACTTATAACATAATTTAATAAATTTAGTCAGTATTTAGAAAACTTTTCCTTATTCGACTGGTCTGAACTACTTTACGAAAATACTACGGTTAAGTTGATTTTAAAATTATTATATTAATTAAACTCTTTGTAGGAATTTTACCGTTTTATAAAACGCAATTATTCTTAACTTCCAATACTCAGCCAGTTGTACTTAATTAGCGAATACAAATTTATTGCTTTAATTAATTTTTTTAAAAATTCTCTTCTACTGTTAAATATTATCTATTTATATTCGCAAAATTAAGAATCCTAACAAATTAACTTTTAAATACTTCCTTCAAAATTAATAAATTGATGAGAACATCATTTTGCAAAAAAATTATTTTACTGCAATTTACACTTTGACTACCACAGACCCGCGCAAGAAGAAGTCCCGATTCGAACTGAAATAATTCGGCCTAGGGACGGATGATCCAATCCTTTCGCTTTACTTCCGTTTATGTCATATCCTATTGACCAATATGTGTACTATTATTATTTGAGATATGGCATATATTTGATTTTTATTAGTTGTACTTGTGTCTTTTACCACTAATTTTATCAAAAATACTACATTTCGAAATTAGAATTTAAAATATATACTAAAATTCATAAACTTCCTTCTGTTTATTTATTTATTTAATTATTTCTGTGATCATTGGAATATTTTATGCTTCTGAGAAAGGAAACAGATCGCGCTGGAAACGAATTCTGTATCGATATTTCTTTTTCCACAAGAACACGAATCAGAAGTTTTCAAGATGTCCTCCCCTACTACGTTTTTCTGTTTCGAATAAAATCACTTCTTTCAATCACATTTTTCTGAGTAATGTATTTCTGTGTGTAAACAAAAGAATGTCTTTGTAAAGTGGATCGCAAATCTCAGTCTCCTGAATAGCTTTTAGATGTAGTCAAATTATAAACCTTCAGCTCTCGTGTTTCTCTGTGAGGGTTGAAGCAGTATGTAAATGGAAAAAGCAATGCAGGGAAAGTTCGAAGGAAGAAAATCGCTCACGACGAGAAATTCAAATAAACGAAGTCAAAATTGATTTTGTTTTAAGGATGTGTTTATTGCAATGTCCTGTAAAGTCTTAACATCTTAATTTTTGGAGATCATATTAATGAGATGATAAAGTTGCGTCATATTGTGATAAATATATATTTGTTTAAATCTTGTCTTGTAAAAAGTGATGATCTAATATAAATCGAACATTTCGATAGAGAACATCATTTTAAAAATTTAAATGTTAATTTTAGTAATATTTTAATATTTAATAGGAATTTTATTAAGTGTAAAAAGTGATGATCTAATGTAAATCGAACATTTCGATAGAGAACATCATTTTAAATATTTAAATGTTAATTTTAGTAATATTTTAATATTTAATAGGAATTTTATTAGTGTAAAAAGTGATGATCTAATGTAAATCGAACATTTCGATAGAGAACACCATTTTAAATATTTAAATGTTAATTTTAGTAATATTTTTTATTTAATAGGAATTTTATTGTGATTTGACTGACAAGATTTAAACAAATAGAGATTATATTAAGCAAACTTCATTCTTCTGACGTCTAAACCTGTGAAGCAAGATTAATTCTTGAGGATATTTATGCAGAGTACTTATGTATTACAGAGTCTTACTTAACTCATATTTTGAGCTAGGTATATGAAAATTACAGACTCTAGCGGTTTTGAACAAGGCGCTGAATAGAATTAGGATCAGTTTGCCTTATCAAAATAACATGATGTTGCAGCTTACAGATTCCTACGGTTCGTTATTTGCACTCGTCTCCTGATATTGTTCGGACGATTTAATAAAGGAGGAAAAGATGAGCGAAGCACACGGGAAATGAGAAATCGATACAGAATTTTGATCGTAAAATATTAAGGGAAGAGATTACTTGAGAGAACTAGCGTAATATATCATAGAGAGATGTGGTTTGAAAGCGTGTACTGGATTGAACTGCCTCAGAATACAAGGTCTAGTACAACAATGACCCTTTTGTGAAGATAGCAATAAAATTTCGAATTTCATAAAACTCGATGATCGTTGATAAACATAAAAGAATTTCAGATACAATCTAAGTTTATAACTAATTTCATATTAAACTTTTGTTAAAGAGCCTTTTAAAGGTTTGAGATTAATATGAAACGGTTTATTAAAAAGTGGTGTGGTGCAAAACTGAATTCGTCCTGCAGAATTCTTTCTGACGCCCACCCAAATACTCAGTTTTGTCGAATGCAGGAGAAAAGTTTTGGAAATTAAACATGCTTAATGGTAAGGTCTCTCCTCTTGTGTATTCCTTTGTGCTAAATACAATAAGAACGTAAAAGTAACAATCGTAAGGCAATATTTCATGTTTCCTTGCAATCATATCCTGAAGTCTACACAGTCAACCATCTTTCAAGGTAGATTTATTGGATCTCTAGCTCTTTCTTTTATCTTTCTTCCATACTGTAGCAAAAAAGTGTGTGCTTTATAAAATAATTATTGTCAGGAATAGAACGGTATATTATTCATATCTTTGTTCCACGCTTGAATTTATAACCCAACATTAAATGTCCAGAAACAGAAATTTCTGACATAATAATGCGCAGGCCTTATTATCATCATGGTATTGATATATACACCTTCACCTTTTCGACGCTATAAATTTCACGCAATTGTATAAGTCACCTCAAATAAAGTAATAACTAAATTGTTTATAAGGCCGTTCATGTGTATCTATTTCTCAATTAGTCATGTTTTCATTAATCTAAGAGGCCCTTTGCTAATATTATTACTAAATATGAGAGACAAATAGAGAATCTATATTAATTTGCAAAAATATAGAAGCTAGAGAGCAAAATTAATTATCTTCCTTAATTTTAGTTTGCGACTGATCTAGCGGCCAAGTTTCATGTACTAAGAGCACCTCTGGGCTTCCTGCAGCTAGACGTTTAGTTGGGAGTGCATTACGATAATGGTAATTCAATTTCCAATACGTACTTCCACTCACAGAATGTATATTGCGCAGCCAATGGAGAATGACAGATATCTATAGACGGTACCTGAGCCTGCAGAACTTGTGTAATTTACTGAAGGAATTCGGGGTAGTAACAGCGTACGAGGTGCGATCGGAAAGTTTCAAGACTGCGCCTATAAAAACCCGTACACTTATCTCAGGTATTAAATTCATCCATCACCCTCGAAGTAGTTCCCCTGGGAGTGAACACAACGATCCCAGCGCCGCTGCCAAGCCTGGAAGCATCCCTGGAAATCTTTCTTTATCAGCCTGTCAAGCACCATCTGCGATTCTGCCTGAATCTCTTCTATCGCCTCAAATCTCCTTCCCTTTAGCTGAATTGTCATCTTTGGGAAGAGGAAGAAGGCACACGGAGCTAAATCCGGCGA